TTGTCTATGTGGGAAATCCCTACAGAATCTACCAAAAAACCTCCTAGAACTAGTGAGTGAGTTCAGCATGGTCACAAGATAAAAATAAACAAATATTAATCACATCTGTATATACCCAAACAAACATGTAGAAACCAAAATTTAAGATACAATACCATTTACAATCACTTTAAAAAAGAAAAGACAAGAAATACTTAGGTATAAATCTAACAAAACATGTAGAGGAACTTTATGCCAAGATTAAAAAATACTGATTAAAGAAATCAGAGAAGGGCCAAATAAATGGAGAGACACACGATGTTCATGGACTGGAAGATTCAACATAGTAAAGATGTCGGTCCCCCCGAAATTGATCTGCAGGTTTAATGCAATTCCTATAAAAACTCCTAGAAAAAATAAGTTTTTTCTAGGCATAACAAGCTTATTCTAAAATTCATGTGGAAAAGAACAAATCCTAGATTAGCAAACCAATCTTGGCCAAGCATAAAGTGGGAGGAATCACACTCCCGGATATTAAGGCTTCGTAGATCACCATGGTAATTGAGATTATCTGGTATTACAGAGGGACGGACACAAAGACCAATGGACCAGAGAACCTATGAACAGCGCCAAGCTAATGTGCCCAACTGATTTTCGACAAAGATGTAAGAGAAATTTAATGGGGGGACGGCCTTGTCAACAATGGCGAGGAACAATCACTCGTCCATAGGCCAAAAACGATGAAGCTCAACCTAATCCTCATTCCTCGTGCCAAAATTAACTCAACGTGGATCATAGGCTTAGATGTACGACATAGCACTATAAAACTTATAAGAGAAGATCTCTGGGATCCAGGGAAAGAGTTCTTAGATTTGGTACCAGACGCATGATCCACGAGACAAAACGATGGATAAAATGCATTTCATCAAAATTTAACACTTTTGCTCTGCAAAAGACCCTGTCGAGAGGAAAAATAAACAAGCCACAGACTGGGCGAAACTATTTGCAAACCACATATCTGAGAAAACTATTCATAGTTTCTAGAATAGATAAAGAACTCTCAAAACTCAACAGTAAGAAACCAACAAAAAAATCCAGTTAGAAAATGGGCGAAGACGCGAGCAGACAAAGTTTGCCAAAGAAGACATTCCGCTGTCATGCAGGCACGTGAAAAGACACCAGCATCGCTGGACGGTAGGAAACGGCATTGCTGTGGATTCAATCCGCAGGGTCTTTCTTTCTAATGGATCAAGTGGGCTGAACGTTTGTGTCCCCAGAATTCACATGTTGAAATCCCCGCCCCCAAAGTGGTGGATTGGGAGGTGGGGCCTGTGGGGGTGATTAGGTCACGGGGCAGAGCCCTCATAAAGGGGATTAGCGCCCTTATGAAAGGGTCCCCACAGAGACTTCTCGTCCTTCTGTCACGTGAGGACACAGTGAGAAGGCATCACCTATGAGCCAGGAACTGGGTCCCCACCAGACACCGAATCTGCCTCGACCTTGGACTCCCAGCCCCTGGAACTGTGAGAAATCAATGTGTGTTGTTTGGGAGCCACCCAGGCTACAGTGTTCTGTCATGGCAGCTCAAGCAGACCGAGACAAGTAGTATTTCTTATTTTAAAAAATTTTTAACAGAGAGGTGAGATGTGAGCAACAACAGGGCGAGGGGGAGGAGAGAAAAGAGAGAGGCGGCGGAAGGTGAGACTACATCTGCGTACAGAGACATGCTTAGTGGAGTGACCCCATCTCAGGGACCTTTGGGTGCCTCCAGGCAAGACCAGAAAACCTGTTGCGTTCTTACAGCCAAACGGTGCCTGGGGCCTTGCCTCTTGTCGCCAGGTGTGGCCGCACGCAGAAGCCCCCCAACCTCCCGGCCACCCTGTGCTCACCATGACGATCATGTCCCAGAGCTCCTTCAGCAGGCGGACCTCCCGGTGGCAGGCTTTGAGCTGCTTGTAGTCTGGGACTGTGACCTCGAACAGGCCCCCGGACTTGGACAGCGCCTCCATGGTGCTCTCCATGGACGCGATGCTCTTTTGTTGCTGGGGAGGCAAAGTGGCTGTCAGCAGGGCTGCCGTGCTCAGCGGCACCCCATCCCCCTCCTGGCGTTCTGCCCCCTCCCCTCCACTGGGGTGTCGCACAACCGAGGCAACTTCCCACCAGGAGGCCGGAACTGATTTTAATGGATGTGGTACAAACCCCTCCTTTCCTCCTGAGATTTCCCGATTTCCCAGCATTTCCCCCATTTTCATATGTTTATAAGTGACGCATTGAAAACTGGAAAATCCAGATAAGCAAAGAAGAAGAGTCATCACAAATCCCATGACCACGAGCCGACCGTCATCAGCATCATGGTGCTGGGTAGTGCACAAGCGTGTGCACGGAAGCGTGTGCTAAAAGGGGCGGCCGTGGCAAGGCGGGTTGAGCGTGCGCTCGACGGCCTCACTACTCACTAACTGCGGCTCCACAGCCTCCCTTGGGTGGCCACGGGGCACCCCTCACTCCAAATCTCTCAGACGGTCCAGCCTGGGGGTGCGTGCTCTGGAGACGGGACGGAGAGAATGGTCACGTCTACATCTGGGCTCGGGAATGTGACGTGAGAAAATGGCCGTCAAGAAGGGTGGGAGCAGGACCTTCTGGAATGGTAGGCTTTGGAGCAGGAGGCCAAAGAGCAGAGGCTCGGAAAGTGTGGGGGGACCCTAGGGACACGGTGGGGTTCATGTTTGCTTGGGCCTGTGGTGTTGCTGAGTGAGGCGGAGGTGCAGGCTGGGCTGGTCCCGCAGGTCCTGGGCATGTGTGGGAATAAAGCAGCACTGGCGTGTCCCCATTGTGCCCAAGAGGCCACCCCTCGGCCCCAGGTGTACCACAGGCTCCTGTCCCATGATAGCCCACGGGGCCCGAGCTCTGTGGATTGCGAGGTCCAGGGCCACGTGAACTTGCACGTTGGATGCTGACCATGAACTCGGACAGTGGGAACGGAGTGGGACACAGGTGAAGCTTGGCCGCCACTGGACGCGGTCAGCCAGGAGAGGAAGGAGTCAGGGATGGCATGTCAAGCCCAGGTGACAGGAAACTGCTGAATGGGAACAGAGCTGGGGACACAGGAGGCAGAGCAAGGCTGAGGAACGGGCTGTTCGGACAGCATGAGCGGTGGGCCTGGGGTGGAGCTCTTAGCAGCAAGACGCGGAGGGGAGACCTTGGCTCAGGGGGATGCCGCGTTTGCGTGTTCAAGTGCACGCACGCTCACGCACACACACTCACGCGTGGCCCAAGGCCACTCTTATCCAAGTCACGTTCCTGGACTTGGCAGAATAACAACTCGAGAGAAGAACAGAAAACAACGAAGTTCCTGGAGTGACTACCCAATCTCATCCCTGAGCAAAAATACCTTATTCAGGGACTTGTAGGGGTCGGGGTCACTGAAGGAGAAGGGGGCCTCTCGTCTGAACTTCTCCCTGAACTCGTGCTGTTTGAGCTGCGAGAGAACAGCACAGAGACACAGTGGCTCACGGGGTGTGTCCCATGCCCCGCCTGTGGCCGGGACACACGTGGGGGCCACAGTCCCGCACCGCACTGCATCCCCCCGGGCTGAGACCGCCGGGCCCCGGCACCTCGAACTGCTGGCACTTCCGGCGCAGGATGTTGACCTCGTTGGCCTGCAGGGGGGCCACGTTCTGCTTCACCTGGATGGCCAGTTTCTTGGTGTTCGTCCACTGCTCCGGCAGCTCCTGCAGGGGCAAGAGCCGAGGGAACTCCTTTCTCTTTCCTTTTCAAAACTATCGTGGAGTATTTAGAGGCTCAGAGAAAGCTGCAAAAACAGTGCAGAGTCCCGCGTACCCTCCTCCCAGCCTCCTAAACGGCGGACCAGGAAGTTGGCGTTGGTGCGTCTCTGTTAAATAGACAATGGAACTTAGTTTTCGTCATGTTTGACGGATTCGTGCATGAACCCACGTGTGTATGCGTGTGCGTGGCCCCGTGTGGTTTTATCCCACATGCAGATTCCTGCCCACTGCCGCGGAGGAACTCCCTTTGTATTCCACACCCCCGGGCCCCCTCCCTGGCAACCGCTGACCTCTCTAATTTTACCGTTTCCAGAATGCCTGCAACAATCAGATGAATTTTTGCATTTTCCAAGTTCTCCACACTTGGGCAAATATTGTACTTATGATATAATCATAAAACATTTTAAAGAAAAACAATCCCAGCCCACGAACAGTCCCTGCAAATGGAGGAGACTTTTGACGGCCCCAGCGGTTTCTGTCTGCAGGCCTCGAATGCCACTGCTTCCGCCTCAGTTGCCCCCGGGACTGGCCACACCCGCTCCCGAGTCCTAGCTGGGCGTTGGGCAGGGTGCTGGGAGCCTCTTGCTGTGGTCAGTTACACAGCAGGCTCCAAGCAGGGCCCGGGCAGCAGGGGGTCAGCCCCTTCCCTCGCATCACCTCCTGTCACTCCCTGGGCTGTGGGGTGTTGGGTGCTGGCTAGAGTCAGTGCATGTGGGCAGGGGAGTGGGCCCTGCGTGTGGCATTGCCGGACACAGATGGGGAGAGGGAGGGAGAGAGCATGTGGTCTGGGGAGAGGTGGGAACTCCAGGGCCAGACATGGCTGGGTGGTGGCTTCAGGACACAACCTCTCCGTCCTTCCCAGCCCAGCCAGCACACACACCTTCCGTACCGACAACTGACACTGCCTAAAGTAGCTTTTGAGCGCTCTGCAAACTCGAGCCCCTCCCCTCCAACCGCCTGCTCTCTGCAGGGTCTCCTTGGACCCTGCGCTCTCTCCACCATCCCTGGCACCCAGCTCGACCGGGCACTCAGGAGGAGATGCAGGACACGAGGGTGTTTCCAACCCAACAAAACACCAGCCAAATGCAGGGAGCACTGGTCCAGCCATGAGGCCGCCCCTGGGGCCCCTGTTCCCAGGGAAGCACGCTCTCTCTGCTTCCCCACTCCACAGGGGTCCAGTGTCCAGTGGGGGCCTGGCCTGTGGCGTCCCCGTGGTCCTATGTGACGGCCTGGTCTCCCATCACACACTCCTCTGGTTGCGCCTCCCACGGCCCCGCTCCCTGCTACTACCTGCCCGCCTGCGTACCTGCAGCTTCAGGTGCATCTCCTCCGGCATCTCCTCCCCGTAGGACTTGAGCAGCTCAATGGTTTGCTTCAGGGGCTCAAACATGTTGTCGGTGGCCACCTGCCTCTCTTTGACCTTCATCAAGTGCCCCATCACCTCCACCAGGCCGTCGTAATCCCCCTCCTTGAGGGGCTTCCTTAAGCCCGTTCTGGCGACTTTCATGAAGGCTTCCAGGTCGGCGAGGCTAAGGAACAAGGCCACCATCTGAGACGGGCCAGTCCTCCTGGGCCCACCCCCTCGGTGGAGGGGAAGCCTGTCATAGGAGGTGGGTGGCAGCTAGGGCACCTGGCTGTCACACGAGGCCTCACTAACTTAGCTCAAGCCCAGCACGAGTCCCAGCTAAGGTTACATCTCAGAGAGGCTTTTGCTGGCCTCCCCAATGGAACTCAGCTGGGTGACATGTAGCATCGTGCACGTCACGGCCCTGATGGCTACCTGTAATTCCACGGCTCCTGGTCTGTCTGTTCAACGGCAGCCTTCCCTGCCAGGCCCCAGGCTCCTATAGCTTTGCAAAGCATCTGGCGCTGGACACAGTAAGCGCTCAATAAACAGGGGCTAGAGGAAGGAGTGGAGCACTGGCTCACGGCCAGGTGACACCTTTCTGCTGGGACCCACACTTGGCGAGGGGTTCGCCCCAAGCCTGACCTCCACCCCTACACCTGACCCGGAGGAGGCACCCGACAAACACCATGAACTCAGGTGGGTGCCCTTTGCGGATCTCTTGGGCTCTCCTAGCGCCAGGAGGCAGGCGGCTGTGGTCCCCACGCCCACCTGTTGACAACGTGGTTACTCAGGTGCCGCTTGAACATGAGGCTCCAGCGCTTGATGGTGCTGAGCAGGGCCTGCTTGAAGGGGCGGCAGTCACACTGCAGCCAGCCATGGAACACCTTGGTGTTCTCACACTTGGACACCTCCTCATACAGCTTCTCGTAGGAGTCGATCTGGAAAACACAGCCACCACCCGCCCGTCAAGGCCCGGAGCCTGCGGGGGTGTCGGCTGCTGTGGGGGTGGGGCCTCAACAGGCAGGTGCCCAGGCTATGCTGGGCATGGGGGGCTCGTTACCAGTCATGTTTCCTTATCCAGTGCCCCAGCGGTCCTTCCAGCCCCAGCAGTCAACTCCAGAGTGGCATGCTCTGCCAGAAAGCAACAGAACGAGCAATGCCCCAGCACTTCTGCAGCAGAACAGGACACAGGCTTCGAGAGGCTCCCAAAGGGAACCCCTCGACTCATCCTTCTTCATGCTGTCGTATAGCCCAGGGGCTCTCGAACTCCTCCAGCCCCCACACCCTGTGCGGCAGAATCATCACACATTGGGAACAGAGTTGGAGGTTCACGTATTAACTATGTTTCCTTATTTCTGTATTCTTTCTGCAGCTGTCAGATGAAATGTTTTGTAAATGTCTGTTAGGACCATTTGGTCTGAAGTGCAGTTTAAAGCCAATGTTGCTTTTCTTTTCTTTTCATTAGAGATGGGGTCTCACTCTGTCACCCAGGCTAGAGTGCAGTGCTGCAATCATAGCTCACTGCAACCTCTAACTCTTGTGCTCCAGCGATCCTCCAGCCTCAGCCTCCTGCGTAGTGGGGACTATGAGTGCATGCCACCATGCCTGGCTAATTTTTTTTTTTTTTTTTAAGAGATGAGGTCTTGTATGTTATCCAGGTCAGTCTTGAAATCCTGGCCTCAAGCAATCCTCCTACCTCAGCCTCCCAAATCACTGCGATTATAGGAGTGAGCCACCATGCCTGGCTAAATCTAGTTTCTTTGCTGATTTTCTGTCTGGCTGATCTGAGAGTGGGGTGCTGACATCCTCAACCATTGTTGTATTGGATTCTCTTGCTCCCGTTAGAGCTGATATTTGCTTTATAAACCTGAGTGATCTGGTGTTTGGTACATATATGTTTAGAATTGTTACACCCTCTTGCTGAATTGATCTGTTTACCATTACATAATAACCTTTTTTGTCTCTTTTTACTGTTTTTGACTCAAAATCTATTTTATCTGATATAAGTACAGCTCCTCCTGCTCGCTTTTGGCTTCTGTCTGTGTGGAATATCTCCCTGTCCCTTCGCTTTCAGTCTATATGTGTCTTCACAGGTGAGTTTCTTTTAGGCAGCATATAATTGGGTCATGGTTATTTTTTAAAATCCATTCAGCCAATCTATACCTTTTAAGTGGAGAATTTAATCCATCTACACTCAAGGTTATCACTGACAGGTGTTGTTTTCTGTATTATTGATGTTTTGACACCTGGGGCCTTGCTGGCCCTAGAGGGACAGCCCCTGCCAGGCCGAGCTGACTTCTAGAGACAGCAAACAACTCACCTGGGAGCAAACCAGCCAACTAGAGCCCATGTCTCCAACCACCCCTTTATCAGGTTCTCACAGGGTCTTACACCCTGGGGCTCTACCCACCTGCTCTAATCACCCCAGGGCCAGATACCAGATAACTCAGGACAGTCCCTATAGCCCAGAGCCTGCAGAAATTATTCAAACTAGCCAACCCTCAGCCTGCTTACTCTGCCCGTTCCTTCGTGGAAACCATGGTGCAGGCTCTTGCCCGTGTTTGCCCTCATTTCCTCTGACTCCCACCTGGCCCTGGAGCTCCCCTGCACAACCCTGCGTGGCGTGGTGTGCCCCTTCCTTGGGAGCAGTGGGTAATGAGCTGTCTTCCCAGTGGCAGACATCTCCTGACCTGCTGGCCTCACCAGATCTGAACAACAATAAAACCTACACCTGAAAGCAATTCACCCAAGTTTTAAATCCTTTACTGGAGGATTCCAGAGATGAGGATGCCAGCGGGTGAGGTTTGCACGCACCTGCTGCTGGAACTGAGCGAGGGTGGGCGGCGTCTTGGGGGTGGTATCATCCGTCCGGGTGTCCAAGTCCTCCGAGGTTGGCGGACGCCCAAAGATCAGGAAATTCTTCATGAACTCCTGCGGGTCATCTGTCCAGAGGTAGGAGTACCTCTCGAAGGAGTCCTGGTACTCCTCGGCCTCCTTCATGGCGTTGATGACCAAGCTGGACAACTCCTCCTGCATCTCTATGAGGTCTGTCATGTCCTCCAGGTCCGTCTGAGGGGGGCAGGAGAGATGCAAACAGGTGAGGCGTTCCGCCTGCCTTCGTCACTCAGATTTGCTCTCCCCACCGTGGAAAGTGGCTCTCTGCCGGTGGAAGTGTTGCTAAGCTCTCACAACAGGACACGGGAAAATTTGCGGCTCATTTTTATAACTCACAGATGTCGTATGAACGGTCAGGAGCTATCAAGGCTACTTCCCCCTTCGCTGAGCATTTAGGTCTTTTTTGAATTTTGTTTTACTGTCATGCGAACAGACAAACACACCTCCTCCAACCTCCCCTCCTTGGAGAGCTGAAGTTCCTGTGACTCTTGCACCCCCAGGCTCCAGCCTGGCACTGCATGGGGCTCGGTGGGTGTTACCAAACACCCTGGAGTAGATGGAGGCACATTTGTCACAGTGCCCAAGGGCCGCGACATTCATAGTGTTCAAATTACAGAACGGAGTGACCATCAGGAAGTGGGGAGGATCATGTTTTTCATCGTGCTGGGGTCGGGGTGGGGGAAGGAAACCCGGGCAGTCAGCAGGAGAAGCCACTCTGGGTAGGAGGATGGATTGGGGAGTGGGGAGCAGGGGGTTGGGTTTGTCGTCCCGGGAACCTGACAACGTGGAGACCCCAGACCCCCTCACCACATCCAGAACTATCATCACTAGAAACGTGCATGTCTAGGCACTGCCCAGGTGGGAAGGCGAGTCCAAACCAGGAAGGCAACTGACGGCCACGTGGGAGAGTGGGGAGGGCTGTAGGAGGCCCAGACTGACCCTGTAGCTCATTCTGTTCTTGGCCAGCCGGGGGATGAGCCTGGCCACGTTGTAGATGTCGTTGACCAGGCCCTCAATCAGCGCCAGGAAGCCGCGCTCTGAGCCCACCTCCAGAGATGGGTTGAAGGTGAGCCCGTCCTCATCCAGCTCCATGTGGATCTCGAACAGGGGCGCGACACTCTCCTGAAACAGGCCGGCATGGGGTCAACACCTCTGCCCTCCAGCGAGCGATTCTCAACACCCAGATTGCCCACTCTGGGCTCTGGCCAAGGTGTGGCTGCCTCCCGCTGGCCCGCACCGCCTCAGGGAGCACACGCCTCGGGGAACACCCTGGCCATCCATACCCAGTGCACAGCTGTGATGCCAAGAGCAGGCTGGGGCAGGCCAGGGCAAGGCCTCAGCTCCAGGCCTGTGTCTGCCACTTCCAGCTGTGTGACCTTGGGCGCATTGCTAAACTCCCAGTGTGCCCAGATAAATACAAGGACCATCATTTTACAGACGGAGACATCGGTTGTTTCCATCCCTCTGGGTTATTGTGAGGACTCAATGGACCAATAACGTACAAAGTGTGAACAATGGTGGCGGGACAGGCCCTCACGCCGTCCCTCGGGAGCTCTGTGTACGAAGCCTGCGCACGGCCGTGTCTCCGTGTGCTCTCAGTGCCCTTGCAAGGCCGTGAGGCTCCGTGCACGGCCTCTTTGTGAGGGGAGGGATCGAGGCCAACTCCAGTGATCCTCCCGCCAGACCAGCAACTCTGGGCCGAGCCTGCAGGTGGCTGTGGGATCGCACCGTGGCCGCTCATCTTCCCCTAAACACAAGTCCCCATGGGCAGTGGACACGCAGCCCCCGCATTTCCCCACAAGCAGGGGAGGGCTGTTCACTAGTGTCCGAATCAGGTGCTGCTTGGCACGATGGTCGACCGTCACGGACTGAGGTGACAGACTTTCTTTCCTACAGACTCGGAAGTCTGCTCCTGCCACAGGGCCACCTGCACGCAGGAGGGCTCCCTGGAGTTTTTTAGAAGGACCTTTTGTTACCAGGGCATCCTCGTAGCTTTGATTGCGACTCTCCTCCTTGTGTTGCTGTTAAGACTAGTTAAGTTCATCGCTGCCACGCTGCACCGCTGGGGCTTCTCAGTGAACCTCACAATTGGTAGGGACCACTATTTTCAGTAACAGAATTTGGGGTCTGTGACCGGTTACCAACCAGCCCCTGAGACATATGTCCTGGGCTCAACACAATTCATTCACCCTCTGTGGCCTGTGCACATCACTGCCATGGTCCTTTTGTCCTTTCCTGTAGGTGGGCGGAGTGTGCTGGGAGGCCTTTGACCTTGCCCCCCCGCACCCCCCGGCAGTATTCAAAATCATCCAGGAACCATGATAACCAAAAGGCACCAGCAGGGAGGGGTCGTCCCCGTGGAGAACACTGGGGAACACGTCTCCATGGGCCGCGTCAGCACAACCCCTTTGCCGGCCTGGTTCATGCTTCCACAGCCCAGCGGAGGCTTGAGTAGGTCGGTGGCTGATGTTGCTGACAAGACCCACCATCAGCACGGGTGGGGCAGTGGTGCCCACTCCCCGCTATCTGTCAGCAAGGGAGGACGCTCTCAGATCCACTGCGGTTTTCTGCAGTCAGTGTATGTTGTGGTAGATTCAAGGTGACCAGCTGTCCTGAGTGCCTGGGACTGAGCAGGTCCTCAGGATGTAGGATTTTCTATTGTTTTCTTTTTTTAGAGACAGGGTCTTGCTCTGTCATCCAGGCTGGAGTGCAGTGGTGTGATCACAGCTCACTGTAGCCTCCAACTCCTGGGCTTCAGAGATCCTCCTGCCTCAGCCTCCCGAGTAGCTGGGACTACAGGCGCCACCAGGCCTGGCTAATTTTTCAACTTTTTGTAGTAATGGGGTCTCGCTGTGTTGCTCGGGCTGGTCTTAAACTGCTGACCCCAAGCCATCCCCCCACCTTGGCCTCCCAAAGTGCAGGGATTACAGGCATGAGCCACCTCACCTATCTAGGACTTTCAGTTTTAAAACCAGGACAGGTTGGTCACCCTGCCGTGGGTGGGGAACCTGCAGCCTTGGGGCCCCATGTGGCCTTCTGGATCCTTGAGTGTGGTCTTTTGACTGAATCCAAATTTTGCAGAACAAATCCTTTTATTTAAAGGGATGCAGCAAAGAAAGATGAAGATTTTCCTGCCTCCTTTGGTGCTTAAAAAAGAACAATCTTGAGATCAGAAGGCCGCAGGTTCCCCACCCCTGCCGGAGTGATTGCCTACACTTTCCTCAGGAAATGACCACCTATAGCCTCTGCCATAGACCTGGTCCTGTGTTTATAGGAATATATATATAAATACTTATAACTTACGTCTAAAACCATGTTATCCATCAGGTAATTCAGAGATTTGCGAATGAAATCATCGAATTCGTCTAAGACCATGTTGTCGACGTAGTTGACGTAATCCTTCCAGGGCAGGCTCGCCGTGTCTGCTCTCAATAGTTCTGCGTTTTCCTGCAAATGGAAGCACACGGTCAGCTGTCGTTTCTCTGGGTCACGCATTCGTTCTTTCTTTAGTCAACCTGTCCAGTGGCTCTCCGGGCCACCCTTGTCCTTGCTCACACATGACAGGCACACGGGTCTGCTTGGAGCTTCCAGGTGGGTCTCTCCCACACCAGGGCTCCACACAGGCTGCTCCCTCCCACGCTCGCCAGGTCTGTGTCTTCTCATCCTTAAGGATTTGGCTTAAATGTCACTTCTTCATAAAGGCCCTCCCTGAGCACCCCTTCCATTTACCCATCCGCACACCCACCCACCCATCCATCTCAGGTTGGGTTCCCATCCCTTCCCCTGCCTGTATTCCCTCTAGCCATCTGTTATCTATGCCCACATGGCACAGACGACCACTCTAGATTACTTTATTTACTCATCTTTGGTCTGCATGCCCTTTTGATGCCCAGCTTCACAAGGGCAAGGCTTGACTGTGCTCTCCAGTGCTGCGCCCCTAGCACTCAACAGTGTGCTTGGGACCGAGCAGAAGCTGGTGAATGATGGGTGGGTAGGTGTGTGGGTGGGTGGTTGGATGGATGGATGGATGAAGAGAGGGTGGGTGGATGGGTAGATGGATGGGTGGGTGGGTAGGTGGGTGGCTGGATGGATAGATGGGTGGGTGGTTGGATGGATAGATGGGTAGATGGGTGGTTGGATGGATAGATGGGTGGGTGGGTGGATGGATGGATGGATGGGTCTATGGGTAGATGGATGGGTGGGTGGGTGGATGGGTGGTTGGATGGATAGATGTGTGGGTGGGTAGATGGATGGGTGGGTGGATGGGTGGTTGGATGGATAGATGGGTGGGTGGGTAGATAGATTGGTGGATGGGTGGTTGGATGGATAGATGGGTGGGTGGGTAGATGGATGGGTGGTTGGATGGATAGACGGGTGGGTGGTTGGATGGATGGATCTGTAGCATTGGGTACTAGGGGAACACAAAGATGAACAGGACTCAGTCTGTACCCTCAGGCAGTTATATTCTAATAGGAGAGAGAAGATACAGCCTCAAATAGCTTCATTGTAAGACACAAAGGAACGGTTCAAACGTCCTGGGCAAAGATAACGGAGCCGACGGGGTGGCTCACGCCTGTAATCCTAGCTCTCTGGGAGGCCGAGGCGGGCAGATTTTTTGAGCTCAGGAGTTCGAAACCAGCCTGAGCAAGAGCAAGACCCCGTCTCTACTAAAATTAGAAAGAAATTAATTGGACAACTAAAAATATATAGAAAAAACTAGCCGGGCATGGTGGCACATGCCTGTAATCCCAGCTACTCGGGAAGCTGAGGCAGGAGGATCGCTTGAGCCCGGGAGTTTGAGGTTGCTGTGAGCTAGGCTGACGCCATGGCACTCACTCTAGCCCGGGCAACACAGTGAGACTCTGTCTCAAAAAAAAAAAAAAAAGATAACGGAGCCCGTGCACAAAGGCAATGCTGCCCCATCAGGGCTGGGGAGCGGGCGGGGCTCTGCCTCCTTGCCCAGCCTCCTTCGTGCTCTGAACCTTTCCCAGCCCCAGGCCAAGTTTCTCTCTTGTGCTCTGTGTCCAGCACTTCTGAGAGTGTTAATAAGTTAATTGGTTAACTCTCCCAAGTCACATTTTTGCAGTTTAACATTTTAATTTAATGGGACCTTCTGACAGCATGGCAAGGCGGGGAGGGGGAGAACCTAGAAATGAGGCAGGGTGGCTTCTGTTCCAGGCCAGTCACTCCACTGGGGTGACGACCCTCAAAGCAATGACGTGACCACAAGGACAGCCAATAGTAGACCATCCCCCAAGTGGGGCCGGCTGGTCTGTCTGCATGTGGTCACCTACCATCGATTTGCACCGCACTCTGCGAAACCTGAAAAGACTGTTCCCGAAATACCTCGAGCTTGAGGGAGAATTTTCTCTTTTACAGGTCAACGCAAAGCTCTACCTTTCACCCCCCTCCTCGGAGATAAGCTAAAATGCAAGCTCAGTGAAATGACTACCAGGTGAGCAAGGAAGGCACGAAAAACCCCGGGCTGCCAGGAACCCACGCAGAGCAATCAGGAGTCTCGTCTACTGTTTTCACTCTCCCTCTGAACGTGCACATGAGGGCTGCCCCAGAGCTCGGCAGGGACGAGACCCGCGGACCCTGGAGACCACTGGCAAGAAGGCATAACCTACGTTCCAGGTAGCAAAGCAGGCGTGTGCCGTCACATTCCGCCCATCTACACGCGTTGGCAGCAATGTGGCCTGCACACACATCGCGTGTTCTCTTCCCGTGCTACTGTTCCTGCCCACTGGGGCTGAGAAACCCATGGACGCCAACACACACCCCCAGGCCTGCCCACAGCAGCTCGTCCCGGGAAAACAAGGTTTGTTGACCTAGTGTGAAGATGTCACTTGCCTATACCAACTTCGTGCAGGGTGGGGGCTCTGATCCCCTCAGAGTAGGGCAGGGCAGGCACTAGCCAGAGGCATCGGGCTTCTGAGTGTGTAAGGAAGACGGTCTGCTGCTTTAGGATAAGCCTCTCTCGGGTTAAAGATCACAGACTCCTGTGGCTACCAAAATACATGTCAGTCGTTTCTGTGAATCGCTCGCTCTGCCTCCGCCCCTCCCCTCGGCCCAAAGCACCGGCTCCCACAGCCTCCCGGTGCGTCCTCACCGCAACCATGGCCTGGATCTTCAGGCCGGCGTCCTTCACCACTGTGTAGCGCTTGTTGAGGTTGATCACCCTTCCGTCCAGGTCTAGCAGGGCCTCTTTTTTGTTGTCCTTTCTTTCAAACAGTGGGTTGGCCGACCAGTCCTGGAAGGAAAACGCGGGAGTGAGAAAAAGTGTTTTGGGGAAAACGCTTCTGGTCTCGCTCCTTTGCCACGTACGTTTGGCGTGAGCGTCCTCATTCCTGGTGACCATGCTTCTCCCTGCCCTTGGACCACTCTGACATCATTGTCCAGGACCAGAGCGTTAAACGGTGGGTTCCCACTGCACACCTAGCGCACTTTACATGGGCCTCTCTGCGTGGCCCCGTCTGCCCAGGACACCCGCGGCCTCCGCGAAGCCTGCTCCACACTCCGCAGCCGGCTCACCTTCATGGCCTGCGAAATCGCGTCTATGTTTTGCTTTGCTTTTTGCATCCTGTTCTGCAAGTTATGTAGAATTTCTCGCATCTCTTGAATATATTGAAACACACCTAAAATATAAACATAAAGGAATCTTACAGAATGAACAATTCAGCAGGATGAAAACTTGTCTTGGCTAAACACTCATTGTTACAAGACAGCCCTTGGAAAGTACTTCTCCTGTTCTAGAACATGATTTCCAGAAGAAATCACCGAGGGTTCCCTGAAACGAAATGCCGAGCAACAACGTAGGCTGTGTCTCTTTGGAAATGGGACTTTCTTATCTCCAAATACGTGGATGCCTCACTCCACTCAGGAGCCCGGACTGCTGATGGTCACGGCCCCACTTCCGGAGCCCCTGCCCCTCCAGCCGTGAACCTGCAGCCAGGAACAGGTCACTGCAGACACTTGAGCTTCCTCCCAAAGCTGTCAGGGCCTGGAGCAACCGGAGAGGAGGTGTGTTCTCAGGCAGAAGGGGGAGGAGAAAAGCATGACCTCTGCACAGAAAAGTCTAGAAGGACCCTGCTTTCAGGGAAACGGACAGTGACACCTGGTCCCACCTTCCAGTTGAGACAGTGGGGGCAGGACACAGCAGAGGGGAAGTGACCAGGTGGCAAAAGGCAAGTGGGAAGGTCTTGGAACAGAGAGGAGCAGTGGCAGGGAGCCCGTCAGCACCGCGGCGGGGCTGGGGGATCAGAAGTTGGAGGTCTTCTGCCTGGTCCGGTGGTGGGATGGAGGGAAGAGGGGGACTCATGGCTACACCTCTATCTACTCTGCCAGCATCAGCCCTGAGCCAGCTGGGATGTGCACGCTGGTAACACGACAAAGGGCGGGCCTCGGCAAGCCCAGTTTGTAGACTTTGGAACCGCTTGGCACTGCCCAACAGCCTTTGCCCGATTCCATTTGTAAACGACACAAACGGGCTCTTTTTGGCCCGGGCAAGCAGGCAGAACTAACTATCCTTTAGCGTTAAATGCAACCCTGGTGCAGTTCAAGCAGTTCCACGAGGCCAGGAGGCAGAAGTGGCCGCTCGGGGGTGTCTGAGGACAGATGCTGGACAGGTTGGACCCCCACGCTTAGTAGGGGGGATGAGTGTGGCCTTGATACCTTCACCGTTCCAGAACAACGTCGTTTCTGCGCTCAGCAATTTGATGTCAATTGCTTCCAATTCTGACTTTATCAGTGGAAATTCTACTTCTTTCACAGTAGTCTTTATCTGCAAAACAGAAGCTACAGCTTTTGTTCCAGACCTGACCAGATGTTAAATTGTTCTGTGGTAGGATTCTTACTACTCAGTACCAGCCAAGCCAGTTATGATGAGGGTTATTTGTTTGAAAATATATATAAATCATATTTCAGGAGATTCCTATTTTTAAAATGATTTTTATCACCAAAGATTTGTGTACATATTTAATTCTTAATTATCTATGGTTTGGGCTAGAAAAAGATGGAAATAGTAAAACATAAAAACAGTGAGTGTGTGTAGTCCCAGACATTTTGTACTTGGCTTAGAGTCAGAAAAAGAAAATCAAAGAAATACGCGTGGATCACTGAGAGTTTCTGGGCTCGGAACCTCTCCTTGGTCATAAAGCTAAAGCCCAAAATCTACTTGTGCGACAGGAAACCCGGGACCTGCGGAGACGCTGTTGTTCCTGGATCGGTGTTAACAACAGGGCGGGTTCTGTACAGTCTCAATACAGCCCTACCCTCCTCTAAGAAATTAGTCTGATGCTTGAAAACCTGAATTTAAAAACAGAAAAAACAAGGGAAAAGTTTTTATAAATGATTCCCTTAAATAACAAACACCATTCGAGCTTTGGAACATCATTCTTTCTGGCAACACGTTGCTTCATGTAGAACTTTCCAGGGACACCTCTCCATGAAGTGAGGGATTCTGCAGAACTGAGGTCGTGCGTTAGATGCTGACCATTCGCCTTCAGAGTGATTCTTTACGTACATTCGGTGCTTTGAACGGCGCCCCACGCCGATGCCGGTAACTCTCGGCAGAGGTGGGTGGGGCAGAAGGGAAAAGCGTGAGAGACGTCAGCAGTGGAAAACCAGACAGAAGCAAAAGCAGCACCTACGGGGTTACAGAGCAGGACACGGCGCCATAGGATTCCACCTGTCAGGGGTGGTTGTTAAACAGCTGCAGGGACAGTGGCCTCTTCCCGAGTACGGAGCCCTCGCTTTGACCACACATCCTGAGCAAGATAATCTCATAATGCACCTTCTTCGTGTATTTGTGACCAAGTCACTGTACATGGAGCTCAGGAAGGGAGCCCTTTACACAGAATTCAACCGCTGGGAAAGGAGCTAAGTGACAAATGATGGGACAGTGGACACAGACAGCAGGGCCCCCTGGTGACTGGAATCCAGGGTCCCCTTCAGCCCTTGCCCACAACTCACGTGGCTACTCGGGAGGGCAATTTATTGACTCATTGCAAACGGCCCCCAAAAACAGCTACGCATCATCACGCCCTCGCAATCACCAGAATAGCAAAGCTGGTGGCGACGCCGTCCAGTTACTGTGCCTTTGTATCGTTCTTCAGCAGCCCAGGTTGTAAACCTGGCAGTGTCATGGGGGGCAACACTCTCAAGTGGTCCCTCAGACATTCCAGTAGCTTCCTTGAGGAGCCATGTCCACTGTGGTCGGGCCGTGTGGAGGCCCGAGATGTCCCCCAGTGGGAGAAGATGCGATAAGGGGAGACACGTGCCAGAAGGACCCAGGAGCGTCTTCAGAGGGGAGCCCGGCGTGCGAGCTCAGCTCAGAGTCTGACGCTCCTGCGTCCCACCAAGCCTACGTTTCTGTTAACAGAGCATCATCGTTTGCAGTCGAAGATAACACGGTCTATGGATTGGACGTTGCGTGCTTGGTTGGGTTCTGTTTGGAACACAGTAGCGAAGAGTCAGTTTTTGCTTCATCTTGAATATCACTTGTTGGATTTTTTTTTCCTGGTTACAGAAAATCTTTTGGGTTGACCATTTTCCTGCATTACGGGGCATTTTCTCCGCACGCCACGGCTGGGTGTCCCAGGGATGGAGGATGCTGGGCCCGGGGCAGCTGGTCTGGGGAAAGTGGACTCAGGGGAATCCATTGGACAGACACGGGCACTTGGCAGCACAAGTGAGGCGATTAAAATTTTATGTTGCAAACAGAATGAACGAAAAAGCTCACTTTATCCTGGACACAGTTCTGGTTACACTCCAACCTGCCCTGATTCTCCCGGGGAGTAGGGAACGGACCCACACTTGATTCTTTGGTGGCTGTGGGTGGACAAACGCACACGACATTCTGAGCTGGCATACTCTGCCACCCTGGGCTTCCGCAGCCTGTTCAGGAAGGAGGTCGCTTCTGCTGAGAGCAGTTTCCTCAACCTCCCCACAGCCGCGCTCTGCATCTGTGACATTCCAGCCTCCTTTCCAGAAGCATCTAAGGTGGGCGCTGACTTCCTGGGCTTTGTCTTACGTGGCGTTATCCGGTCACCATCCCCTACTCGGACAAGTCCTCGTCAGTAGAAACGCCTTCTGAATTCTCAACATCACCGCTGCCATGTCCTTCTCTCCAGGTCGGAAGGTGCCTGGCGTGGCTGTGCTCGTTGTGCTCGGAGACGGGGGTGGACCCAGCATTCCTCGCGCGCTCCGTACCAAACCCCGCCGGCCCCAGCTCGCGGACCACATGCAGTGAGACTCGACCTCCACGGTTGCACGAGGCAATGCCTCACAGTAAACCTCTCCCTATATGTCCCGTGGGTTCTGTTTCTCGGGAGAACCCTACTGCAATGGCCCTGAACCACAGGGCGCAGAAGCCTCCAGAAGCCGTGAAAGGCCGGGAGACAGACTGTCCCCGGAGCCTCTAGGGCAACAGCCTGGCCACTGCCTTGACTTCGGCAGAGTGAAACACACTCGGGAATCCGACCTCCAGAGCTGGAAGGTGACAAAGGTGTGTTGTTGGTGGTACTTTGTCACAGCAGCAACAGGAAACGAGCAGTGTCCACATCTGGACATTCCACTGTGGCTCCGGGGAGGGTCGAGGTTGTGTGGCACGGTGGTCACCTTTTCCAGGATCTGGGTATGGGGTCGGTGAGACAGGGGGTGCCCGGAACGGAGACAGGCACTGCAACCACCTGAGGAGCCCCACGGCCACGCTCCCCACCCCTCCGACTCCTGACTCAGCTTCCAGCTTTTCTTGCTGGGAAGGGCCTGGCCCCCCCGAGACTAATCAGTTACGGGGACAGCCTTTGTGATCACCGTGTCCAGGTGGATGTCAGGAGTCGAGACTGAGAAGGAACCTTAAACCACAAGGCTGAGGGTGGACACCACCCTCCAGGGCCTGCACACGCAGCTGCCTCACTGGAGGCAACAGGGACACGGGTGACCTCGTCCCATCCCCGCACACTAATGGGAGTACCAGGAGTGACGTGGAAGGACTTTAACATTGTCCGAAATATATTTAGGAGAGTAAAACTCTATAAAGAATCACGTAACATCAGCCCAAGTCAACGGGAACAAGGTTTCCATCGTCAGTGGTTTGAGTTATCACACCTTTGCTGCTGCTATTTTGTGAATAATGAAGACTGGCTTGAACCACATTTGAATATTAAAATATGCTCATTATTCTGTCCTACTTGGAGATCTTACACCAGCATTTGTTCTAAACAAAAACCGAAACTTGGCAAACACGCACACGCACAAAATGAACCGCGCCAACCCACCTCGTTATACCAGCCCACGATGAGCTCCAGGTTGCCCACAAACTTGCGGAAGGTTTCGTTGTCTGAGAACAGATTCTCTGCACTGCCTGGAATCTCTTTTTGTTGCTGGAAATTCAAGTACTTGACTTCTCTCAGAACCGCCACCAACTAAATGGCAAAAGAAGATCAAGGAACATGCGGGAAGAGGATCTCAGCGGTGCAGCGCTCAGCAACAGAAGGAAGGTCTGTCCCTGGGACGCCCATGCAGCCAGGGGGTGTCAAAGTTGGCGGGAGGCAGTGTTTGCTAGCGGGATGGGGACGCTCCAGCCTGCCTGCTGGTCGTGACCCCGAAAGCACTCATGTCATCACTGTGGGAAGCCGACATCATCACAACCTCCTCACCTCTGACCCCACTGACGCCCGCCCCCAGGTCGTTTGGAGAAAGGCTTCAGAGCTCCGCCTGGGTCCTCCCTGGGACCTGCCTTTCCGCTCCTCCCACCTGGCTATGAGGGAGAGACCAACAGTGGGCGTCTCATCCGCCAGTGCTTCTGTCCACAGAGCTGGCTCCCTGCCTGTGTCCAGAGAGGGCCCCTCCTGCTTCTGTCCTCTGTGTCTGTCTGAATCATCGGGTTTTAGCCACGGAGCACGCGCCCGCAGCCCCCCAGCGTGACCTCTGCCGGCTCAACCGCCCTGCTCGGCCAGCACACTTGTCTATGTTCGGCAGACTTTTTTTTTTTTTTTTTAAGTTTTCAAATTGGTGTTTCTTCTTGGGATCACATGGAAGCTTCTAAAAACGGTGCTCACTGAAGCCCCTGTCAAGGATGCTGCTGTTTTGCCTCATACCTTAAATATATCCTGGACGTACTTCAAAAATAAAGCTTTAGGCTAACTATGATAGAAATATCAGCCTCCACAAATACACACTGCGGGGGGAAGGGAGTCGGCTCGGGGCCATGCTGGGCCCTCGGGTCTCTGCCGTCCCCCTGCAGCGGGACCCCAGCTCCCCGGGGACGCCCTCTGCGCGGCCTGCCCTCCAGGCACCCACCGCTTTGCTGAAGTTGACTCGGACGAGGTCTGTGGTGGCGTCGCGCTGGATCAGCGGCTGCCCCAGGTTGAAGCTGCAGTCCTGGTCCACCCTCTGCACCCACTGCCGGTAGATCCTCTGGCGGCAGCCCCCCAGCAGGGCCATCATCTCGTCATACTTCTGGTAGACCAGCTTGGCCTCCTCGCCAGACAAGACCCTGCGATCAGAGTCGGGTGGAATGGTGAGGCTCCAGGCCTTGCTTGGACGTCGTGTTCAGGGTCTCTTCCATGGCCCCCACCACGGCTGCCAGGGCTCGGGGTGCCAAAGCAGCCAGACAGCCGGCCGTCTGTTTCTTTGAGGCTGACAGACTGAATGTGCAAAGGGACAAGGGCCAGACCAGATATAAAAGGAGAGTTGTGACCCGCCATCAGCAGCAGCCAGCCGGGAAGGCAGACGATAAACCACGTAGCAGTTGGCCCCGCACGGCCAGGACTTGGCTGAGAACTGCCGGCTCCCTGATGTCTGCCCTCCCTTCCACCTTGGGAGCAGCCCCAGAAAAGCTGTACAACGCTGCTAGCTGGTCACCCAGCAGGCCCCGCGTCCGGCCAGCTGTGCCAGCTTCCCCAGGCCCAGAGCATCCCTGTTTCCTCTGCAAAGCTTTGCCCTCCTCTGCCTGCGAGCCGCTGGCACACGGCAGTGGCCGTGGCAGGGCTGACTCTGCATTCCCGTTGGGTGGTCTTCATTTATTTCTACAAGGCTGACGGCCAAGGGTGAGGACAGGCCAGACCCTTCGGAGCACATCCACTAAGAAGGCATTTGGGAGGAGAGGAGACATGGGAGGGATTTTGCTTTGGGAGGTAAAGGTTCGGCCCGCAGGAAGCGAGGGCTGTTGGGGCTGGGATGGCCTCTCTTCCTCCGTCCCCGCCCCGCACGTCGTGGCCGTGGCTGTGACTCACGGATGGTCGATGTGCTTTAGGTGCTTCATGGACACCTCCAGCCTCTCCTGCAGCTCCAGGCTCCACTTGAGCTGCCCGGCCACCGGGGGCATGTTTTTGTGGATCGGGGGGATGTTCCCCTCCACAGAAGCTGCCATCTGCGTGTCGTACAAGATCTTGGCGTTGTCCAGCTCGGTGTCGAACAACTCCAGCATGACCGAGTACCTGGGCACCACCTCGGCGAGGATCAGAGGCCGCTCCAAGAGGCTCCCGCACATGTACAGGAGCTGGGGAGAACGGGAAGAGGTGACTTGGCCAGAGTCCCCGCCCCGTCCCCATCCTCGTCCCCAGCCTGCAGAGCAAGAGAACACGTGCCCTGTTGAAACGAAAGGATTCGTTTGAACATTTCCCTGCGCGGCAGCGGGTTAGGCAGACGCCTCTGTGACTTTCGTGTTGATGTTTGCGAGTCCCCAGATAGTGGCTCCTAAACCAGCAGTGCAAACTAGGTCCCAGGCTAGAAAAATTTATTCTGGGCCCAGAGAAATCATGATTTGGGTAAGGAAGATTCGAACAATTAAAAAACACAACTGAACCATTAAAAAATAGCCACAATGCTGCGTTTGTATAGCTAGACTTCCACTCCGGTAACCAGATGGAGAGATGTTATACTCGCAAGAAGTATTGCTCTTAGGAAGAGCTCTGTCAACCTCAGGGACGTGCCCAGACAACGCAAACCACCATTGGGAAATTTGTTTAGCTCTGAAAAAGTTTTGGGGGAACCAGGGACAGACAAAGGGGGAGGGGAGCACAGAGAGGGAAGATCTTACACAGGGTCCCCTGATGCCAAACTGGCCCGTGCCGGGTGTCAGTGCAGAGCCCCGCGAGCTTCCCGGGCTGCCGAAGCAGAGGACTGCGCACCGGGGCGGCCCGGCTGGAACTGCCCGAGTGTCAGATTGGCCCCCGACTTCGGCTTCAGAAACATGACCACTGTCCCTAAAAGTGGCTGTTGGAGGAAAGACTGAAACATGACTATGAAGAACGGGAGCGAGATCGTTCAGGCCCCCGAAAGCCTCACAGGGCAGGCACGGATCCGCGGGAGGGTGCGGAGGGTCTGGGAGCAGCCGGCTGCCTCCGTCTCCACAGGCGCAGGGCAGCTGCGCACAGGCGAGGTGGCCAGTTTCTTCCCCCCACCCCCCAAAATTGACATGTGGCAGTTGGGAAAGATAAACGTTTCTGTTATTGGTTTGTGACACTCCTGGTTTTTCTTTACCTTGTCCCTTTTTCCTTTCTTCTTTTCACATGTACATAGTTTTTGGCCTGCGGCCTCTGGGAAGGAAGCTAATTTTATCTCCTGCCAGGAGGAGGTCATGCGGAAAATTGCTCTAGAACTTTCCTGGCTGCATGTGACTTGCTGGCAGTGAGAACTCGTTTGGGGACACGCAGGGCGCGGAGAGGACTGGAGGGAGGGAAACTCCAGGGGCCTAATTAGAGCACAGGGTTGTCAAACATGGAGAGAGATGTTCCCAGGGTGAGGAGAGACATGAGCAGATGGAGATGGGAATGGTCTGCAAGTTATTTCCATCCATTTTGCCTTTTTGTTTTTCTAGCATAAAGTTAAAATTTCAAAAAACGACTCTTCCCTTTTAAAGCACAAGAGCCGATCTCAACCCTAACAGCCGATGTGCTCCGCGAGAAAGCCTGGGGTGCAGCAACCGCGTCTGTTCACGGGGGGCCGGTTCTGTCCCGCAGGGCCGGTTCTGTCCCGCAGGGCCACCCAACTCCTTCCCCGGGGCTACGGGGCAGTCGGCCCCTACTTGATGCTGTCCTCTGTCTGTTCCTCCCCTTGTTCCAAAGCAGATTTATGGGGGTGAAATTCCCATGTACCTCTGGGACACGAGAAACTCTGGGGACTCATCCTGCCCTGGCCGGGGGACAAGTACTTAACTTCTCTGATCTTTCTGGGCCTGTTTCCTCATCCACACAGCTGGGAGGAGCAGCACCTCCCGTGGGGCTGGTGTAAGGACGGGGAAGGCGGCGGCGGCACCACCTGCCTGGCCTGCCCCGTCCACGCGCTCTAGCCTTGTCTTCAGTCCCAAAGACCCAACCACAGGGGAAGAACTGGGGTCTCCAAACTCTTCTTGGGACCCTTCTGCACTTGGGTAACCCCGAAAGCTTCAGGGCTGCACACCTGTGGGACTGCCCTCGAGTGGAACTCCCTCCCGACAAGGTCCAGAATAGCCAGGCCACCCAGCTAGAGCCGGTCCTGCACCGCAGGAAAACCCAGAAGTGCCTGCCTGTGCTGGGCTCCATTCCAAGTGAACTGGAATCAAGGCGCCTGCCCTCAGGGAGTTTATACTCCAGCTGGGAAGACATCAATACACAGTAGAATACAAAACCAAGTGTTAGTGTCAGCCCAGAGAGGGAAGAAAGCTGCTACTGAAGGGAGGGAGGGAGGCCTCTCTGGCTGGTGGCATTTAGTTGGAGGCAGGAAGTGAGGACCCTGTGACCAGCGATGCAGCGTTCTGGGTAAGGATCTTCCCGGGAAGGGAACAGTGACAAAGATTCTCTGCTTGGCCAAACTGGCTCCTGACCCTCCTCCTAGGCCCGTCTGTGCACATCCTTGTAAAATCCACTGAGTCAGCTTAGCGGGAAGCCCCATCCTCCGTATCTGACCACCCTCGGCCACCCGCCAGGGGATGTCTGGTCACCCTGGCCTGTCTCAGCAAGAGCCCTTCTGGGTTGGTTTGGCCAGAATCCCCCAACCCAATTTCCCTCCTGGTAACTTTCCACCCACTGACCCCACCTGCTCCTTGGCTATAAATTCCCACTTGCCCCTCGGCGTTTGGAGTTGGGCCCGATCTCTCCCCCATGCCAGGCCCGGCTGAGGGGTCCCTGTACCTTCGACATGGTCCTAAATAAAGCCTGCTTTACCTTGCTTTAACAGTATCACTGAATAATTTTTTTTCTGTAATGAGAACAAGAAGGTACTGTATTAATTTGCATTCATTGATATTTTGCCTCGAGCACCAAGAGGATCCAAGACTTAATTGATCATTACATTTGCAGAGCTTCAAATTCCTATGTATTTGCATTTTTTAAAAGAATGTTTAAGAGGCAAAGGAACATCCTGGCATTTACATGGGAGAGGTCTTTGTGCTGGGGGTGGAGAGACGCCAGCCCTGACATCCTGCAGAAAGATGACACCACCTGGGCTGCCCAGGCCAACCCAATTGCTTCACAGTCCCGGGAGCCCCTCCAGCCACAGTGGCTCAGAAGGGGGGCCTTGGAAGCAGTCAGACTCGGGGCTTGTCTGGGGTTCTTGTTCCCCTACTTACTGGCTAGCTGTGCAACCTTGAGTAAGTTTCTTGACCTATCTGGGCCGGTAAAATAGGGTGGATAATGTAGTTAAGGAGCTTAGCAAAGAGCCTGGCTGTTGTGAGAATTAAATGAGATAATATACTACCTAGCAAAGTGCCTGGGACCAGAGATCCTCTAGTAATTATTGGGCTTCTCCTGTGGGCATCGCGCTCTCCGCGGCAACCCAGAGGTTACAAAGTGAAGGGAAGACATAGCTCTGAGCCTCATAGTTGACAAACAGGCATAACACCAAGAAGAGAAATAAAAATAAGCTATTCAGGCCTATACTTATATTTATTCACTTAAATCCTCGATACCTGTTCTCCACATAAGCTGAAGCCACACACTCTAAACGCTGCAGTGATTCTGCCACCGACTATTGGTAGGGGCCAGGCAGGTCCCAATTAACGCATGGAAAGGGCTGGGCTGGGACAATAGGGAGTGGTGGGGACGGGGGCAAACTGGACCACTCACGGTTGGTGTGGGGACCCACTCAGACTCCCGCGTTGGTGCCAAGATTATTTTAAACGAAGCACATCTGAGACTCAACAGAGGCAGAGCGAAGCCGCGGCCAGACCCCCTCAGGGGAGTTTCATCGCCAGGAGTGAGAGGGGCCGCTGGTGCCTGCATAAACCAACATCGCCACAAACCGTCCTGTCTGCACTTTGTTCTCCTAAAAGTCCACTTGCCTTTCCTTCATAACAGGCCACTCATTTTTCCACAGAAGCCCTTTCTCCCCCTTCCTTTCCCCTGCTAATCTGGCAATGAACCCCAATCTCTAGCTGCTCAGAGAGCCGCTTCTTTTGTGTGAACCATATGCGTGTACACACGTTGCCAGATTAACAGGAGAAAGGACAGACTTGTGCAGCCCCCATCACCGGGCCCAGGATGGCAGAGGCACCGTCTTCCTCCCCATGCTCTGCCTGCCGGGACAGCAGCGGCTCCGCTCCAGCGCGGGCCGCCACGAGGGACCGTGTGCCCAGGACGGCCGGATCTGCTTTGCCAAGAGAAGGTGGAAACCCCCACTTTGATGTGAAACTTTCTCAAGTTTTAAATGTTGGCGAGATTTTCAAAAATTTCAACGTGTTTTGAAAAAGTGATACAAGACTTGGCAAATCTACAGAGACAGGAAGGTCACCGATCACCTCGAGGTGGGCAGGAAACGGGGGGCTGGGAACAGGGGAACGTTCTACAGTGGACTGTGGAGGGTCGCGTGAACCTACATGTACCAAACCCGCCTAACGGTCCAGTTCAAACGGTGACTGCACGCGGGAGGATTGCAGCTCCAAAGCACGGGGGAGCCGGGGCAGCCGCCAGCCGGCCCTGGGCAGCCTGGGCCGCGAGTCTGCGCCGCGGACGTGTTGGCACAAACGCCCAGGCCCTGAGTTACCCGATGAGACTATGACTACAATCGTTCAAAACATGCGAAAATCCAAGAACCAGCATGTCTACTCAACCAGTGACGGCCTCACGTCACCTGCGTGCAGGCTCCCCGAACACATACCGGGCACACACAGATGGTCCCCGGGATTGGAACCCGAGGCCAGAAATAAAGGGTGGGTGGGGCGGGGCGGCCAGAAATCCCAGAGGTCAGTTGTCTGTGGGTGGGACACGCGGGGGTCGTGTGGAATGACCCCCGGCCTGGACGGGCTCTCCGTCCACGTGGATTAGGAGGTGGAAAGGGTTCGTCTCCCCTTTAGAAAACACGGGCTTTGTGAGACGGCGGCAGCAGATGTGAATCGGGGTAAAAAAAAAAAAAAAAAAAGAGCCATCTGGCGAGGCCCTGGCAAGAGCTTCTCTGTGACGCTGCTGGCTCACATGCACACTCACGCACACGCACATGCACACTCACACACCTGCTCGTGCTCACGCTCACACATACGCCCACACTCATGCTCACACGCACGCTCACACACTCACACTCACGCTTGCACTCACATTCGCATGCATGCTCACACTCACTTGTGCTCTGCCTCATGCCCGTGTTCTCTCGGGGAGGATAGTGGAGGAACGGGGTGCAGGGGGAGCCCTGTGCTGGGAAGAGGGTTGAGCTCAATCACTCTTAAGTTCCATCTGAATGAAAGATCATAAGAAAATCTGAATGTGGTGGCGGAATTTTAAATAACCACTCCTAAGCAAGAAGTTCAGACCAGATAGAGAAGGGAGCCTTTCTCAAGGGCACCTCTAAATTGCAGAATGGTTTGTGGTCCCATGCCCAAGGACTTCTTAAAATCAGTGATGGAATTATCAGCTAGAAAATATAAAAGGGTCATGTGTAAAACGCTTCTGAAGATTCGAGCTGGAATAAAAAAGTGAGTAAGCAACAAGGGGTTATTGAGAAATGCCAGCGATGCGTGGAAAAAGAACCCCATAGAACTTTTAGAAATGATAAGCTCAATGGATGGGTTACACGGCCAACTAGACACAGCAAAAGAGAGAATTATCCAACTGGAAATTAGAGCTGAAGAGATTACTCAGAATTCACGGAGCAGAGACTGGGGAGATGGGAACCATGAGACTAAGAGACACGGAGGACGGACTGAGAAGGTGGGTCTGCGGTGCTGCCGGCCAGATCCAATGGAAATCCTAGAAGGAAAGAACAGAGACAACCGGAGAGAGAAAGAGAGAATGGCTGAACAATTCCCAGGGTAGCTGAAAGTCAATAATGCACGGATACAGAAAGCACGGCCTCATCTCATGCGGGATGAATACCTACACGCCTCCTAATGGGTACGAGCTGGGACAGAGGCTCAGAGTTACGACAGAGACCAGAACAACAGCGATGTGAGCACCGGTTTACATCACTGGCTGACATCACTGTCTGAGCCGCCTAGTCTGTGGCGATCTGTCATAAGATACTGTAAATTCGGCTCAGCGGGTCGGAACGTGTACGCGTTTTATTTTCATGGCAACTTTGTCTCTCTGTAACTTTTGCTCCTTCTAAGCAGTGGGAAATTGAATCAAATGAGAATAAGCAGACACCTTTCTTCCTAGTGAGCACGAGGACCAGTCAAGTAACTAAAGCAATTGTCACCACAATCACGTTCTCCTCTTCCTCTAAGCTGTGGCAATAAAAGCCATCAGACGCTACTCCAGGTGCTCGCTGTGATGGCACCGAGGCAGGGAAGGCCCTGTCCTCTCCAGGCCACTCCTCGCCTCTTAGGAAAGACGTCTGATGAGATGGCCTCGAGGGTCCCGCTCGGCACGAACCCGGCGCTGCCGTGATGAGCTCGAAGCCAGCCCGGGTCCCCGGCGTGCACTTACCTTTGCAGAGGACTCGATGGAGCTGCAGTCATCAAACGCTTGGCCAAATATGGTGGCCAGCCTCCTGTCCAGATCTTGAATTTTGGTCTCAAAATCAGCATAATCGGAGTCAAAACTCTAAAAGTAAATGAAAACGTCAACCTTGTCGTCGGCATACAAAGCAGGTCAAGCGCGCTCTCTGCGGCCACGTCTCGGCGGAACGTGCTTCCTGCCCTGGGGACTGCTCTGCGTGCAGCTGTCAGAGCACAGGGACTGCCCGTCACAGGCTTCCTCCGTGTGTCTCCCTGCTCCTGGGGCATGTGTCCGCCGGCCCGTGCCGGGACTTACCGAGTCTCCAGGATCCAAGGGATCATATTTGCACTCGGCAAAAACCTTCACCAGCTCGAAGACCTCCTCGTAGATCTGCGTCACCAGGTTCCCCAGGATGTTGCCCTTCACTCCCCCCAGCTCGATCTTCTCCAGCTTCAAAAACTCGATCGCTGTTTTATAAAGATCCTAGTCGACGGAACAAGTAATACACTTAGTCAATTCTTTTCTTTTTGAGACAGGGTCGCATCTGTCGCCCAGGCTGGAGCGCAGGGGGATCAGCACAGCTCACTGCAACCTTGCACCCCTGGGCTCAAGCGATCCTCCCGCCTCAGCCTCCTGAGCAGCTGGGACTACAGGCGTGCACCACTGCACCCAGCTCCTTTTTCTATTTTTTGTAGAGACGGGGTCTTGTTATGTTGCCCATGCTGGTCTCAAACTCCTGGCCTCAAGCGATCCTCCCGCCTTGGCCTCCCTAAGTGCTGGGATTTCAGGCGTGAGCCACTGTGCCCGGCCCTTATCTTTGTAACCAAACTCAAGGATCCAGTTATAAAATGAGCTCTGACCCCAGCCAAGAGGAGCCGGGAGCAAAGTACCCCTAGGAGACGTGACCGTGGGAGGATACACCCTCCATCTGTGTTGATGCTCTTTAAACGGGTGTTCCGTCCCCTGGGGTTCCACGCATGAGCTCTGACTTACAGACGAGGAGGGTCTGGCGAGGAGAAGGCTGGGGCCGCCCGACCCTGCACCGGCCGAGAGGCATCTCCCGACGCGTCGTGCTGTACAGGGCTCCCCGTTTCCCCAGCAGGGAGCAGTGGGAGAGGTGCTGGGAGGTTCCTGACGCTCTCCCTAAGCTTTACCCCCTCTGCCTCCTGGAAGATCACCCCACACCACGAGCCCCCTGCAGGTGCCAGGACGCCTGGCTGATCCCACGTGTGCAAGTTCTATTTCCTCCAGGCGAGGCTCGCGCGACTTCCGCTTTCCCTGCGGGAAGCTCGTCTGTGCCGCCCGTTTGCTTTCGCTCCCAATCGGGCTCCTCCCGGTGGTGGATTCTGTGTGCGGTTCTTGTTTCCCAAACAGGATCTCCCAGACCGCCCGAGACAAGGGGCTTGTGCTGCTTCTGCGTCCCTCCATGTGCCAAGCACAGCGCCAGGTGGCGTTTGGAACTGAAGATGCTCCTATGGGGCTGGCGTCACTCCCTAAGCAGAGACTGAGGCCGGGGCGGGGTCTGGCCGTCCCAAGCCATGAGACCACAGCAAACCCAAGGAAAGCACAGGCATGGCGTGTCGGGAGCTCTCGGACCCTTCTGCCCAACGAGCGGACAAGGTCAGCCAAGCTGGCAGAGCCGGCACAGCCCGCTTGGCAGGAGTGGACAGTGAAGCCATTTTTCCCCTTCAAAGTCTCCCCTTGCCCAGGAACTTCATCCTGACTCAGAATCTATAATGTAGGAACCGACGGCGACTTGGCCAGAAACTCAACTGTGACCCTCCGAGTCCTCAGTCTGGGAGATTTCAGGCGTGAATACAGACTCTGCGATGGAAATTTCGGAGTCCTGAGTGGGCCTCCCTCCTCTGCCTCCCAGAAGATACAGGTGAGGACCAGACGGGGCCTTTCCCGAGCCACGGCGAACAGCGTCCATCCTAAAATCAGCGCTCAGCGGCCCCAGGATGACCCCCCCCTTTTCATGATGTGAGTTATATGTGCACAAAGTTAAAAAAGTCACATCCTACCACACGCAGAAGAAACAAAAAGCAAAACTATCTCGCCTGCCCTCTCACTTCTCCCCAGAGAAAACCATCTGGAACCATCTTTAAGTTTTAAGTTGCCAAATGTCGCTCTGTGTATCCACGTGGCGCTCATACAGGGGTCTTCCAAGTCTTCGTTGGTGATAATTGAGTCCTACTAAGTAGCTCTGCCCTTGGCCCCCAGGCTTCAACTCATCGTTAACCTGCTGGCTACAGAAGGCACGGGATGGGGGCAAGTAATCAAAGTGGGTCACTTTCGTTCTGAGCTGACAGCTCCGGCTGGGAGGCGGCTGCCCCGAGGACACAGCGTCCTGTAACACCGGACGTCTGCGCCAGACTCCACTCTCCCCGCGTGCAGACGGTTCTGACGGGGATGAGGATGGCAGATGCAACACCCTAAGCGGGAGCAGGCTGGGGAGTGCACGTGAAGAGGAACCAGATTTTGCTTTTACCTCGATGGTCTGGATGCGGTGGAAGAAGGAGTTCATTCTGGAAAATGCCAGGGATGAAGGGAATTCCCAGGGCACGGGCTCCTTGTCCTTTTAGGGGAGAGAGAGGAGAGAGAAAAGGCCATGTTTGCGTCAAATACTCCCACTTATTAAAATGTTGGGGACAACATAAACTTGGCCCTGTTTTCGCTGTGACTTTTGCTCTGCGGGTCAGGACGCACCTTGAAGAACAGCTTCATGTTGGTGCAGCAGAAGTCGTAGGCGCGGTGCAGCTCCCTGAGCACGGTCACCGACAGGGAGATGCCCAGCAGGACCTCCTCGATCTCACCCTGCAGGCCCTTCAGCACCTCCTCTGGGCTCAGGAAGGTTCGAGTCTGGCAAAAGGGCAGACAGACACCCCCAAGCTCCCACAAGCCATTGCGGGTGATGACAGGCGCACCGTCTGTAGGCCGTCGGCCTGACGCACAACCATCCACTGTGGGGCCCTGTGACCTGTTCTTCTGACACATCAACTGTCCTTGGGCACGTGGCCCCATCTATCTGCCAACTGCTGGGATGTTTTTGGGGGGGCCTGAGCTGCAACCCTTTCTTGCGCCCCGTCCCATGCCAAGGCTGCAGCAGATGCGGATTTGGATCACAGGTGATCGGGAGCCCTCCAGAGACAGGGGACCCACAGTGCCCTCTGGTCCTGCAGACGGGGCCACAAGCAAGACTTTAACACACTTAGGTAGCCTGCTGGTGGCCGGCTAACGGGTGCGTGTGAGGGGGAAGCAGCCAAGGACGTCTCTGCAGAGGGAGATGGGGCGGTGAGGGGCAGGGCCGGGTAAACCCCACAAAGCTCCCGGCTGCATCTTGGGGCACTGGGTCTCTTGGCGCAGAGTCTCCTGCTCTGTCCCCTCTTCCCTTTCTCCTCCCTCCCCGTGTGGGGCACGGTGGGCGCTGCCCAGGTCCTAGGAAAACTCTAAGTCGTCACCAGGAGACCTCGACCCCAGCTCGGTGCCGGACAACACCTGTGCTGACACCGCGGGGGGGACGCGGGCAGCGGAAACAACGGGAAGGGGCGAGGACCCAGCGGGGCGGGCTGGGGAGGGCTACCATCTCGATGATCTGGTTGCAGAACTCCTGCAGGATGACGATGATCCTGGAGGGCGTGTTGTAGTGCTCCGAGGTGGCCCAGATGAAGCCGATGGTGTCCAGCACCTTGGCGATGAAGGTGGGGAGCTGGGGAGAGACGGGCCGGGCGCCTCGTCATGACGTCTCAGCCCTCCCCTTCCCACGGCTCTGGCGGGGCCTCCAGGAGAGGGTCCCCCGGGGAGGGGAGAGGCGACGTGGCCTGATGACAGCCAGGAAGCCCACAGCCCTCTGCACCCTCGAGACATGAGACCCCCCCTCCCCCCGCCAGAGAGTGACCTTTCCCCACGTACCTGCGTGAAGTCGGCCTGCTCCATCTCCTCCAACAGCACCTGCAGGGGCTTCAAATAGAGCACGACGTCCTCCACCTCCTTCAGCCCTGCACGTGGCAAGCACAGGGCTCGTCAGCACACGAGCGGCATGCTGGCGGAAAAGGTGCCACGCGGCTCTGCGCACATCTAGACCTGCTCCTTCCAGGGACAGGACCATTCTCAGGAGACAGGGGTGCCAGGGAAGCCGCTCACAGGGAAGGCGAACACCTGCCGCCCCCACCCCTGCCAGGAGGCACCGACAGCTCCCCGGGGACATGCGCAGGTGACACAAGCTCACCCTCAGTGACGTTCGTGTACACGTTCTGCAGGGCTGGCCAGTAGCAGCTTTTGGCTTTTTCCAGGATCTCGACTATCTTGTTCACTTTGGGTCTGTTTAGCTAGGAGGAGAGAAGGTCTGCCTTTCGCTGGGCTCGTGGACCCTCACACCAGGCCAGCCCGACCTCGCGGCTGGCCGCGGCTGAGGCATCTACACAGTGCTCCCGGGTGCGCAGCGCCACGAGGCCGAGCCCGGGATGCGGCTGCGGCTGGGCGAGCGGCGGGGAAGAGACCCCACCTGCTCGTGGATGCACTTGAGGTTCGTCAGCCGGGCGTCCCAGAACTCGAACTCGACTCGGGGCAGCGGGTGCAGCCCGTCCAGCAAGGCCTGGGCCGAGTCCTTGCTTAGCACGTCCCGGATCTGGTGGGACCAGTCGATGATGACGGTCTCGATGGAGTGCAGGAGAGAGTTGTCCAGCGAGGAGGGGAGCCTGCCGAGAAGAGGGTGGGGCAGCTGCTCTCGTGGCCACTCGGCCGCGGGTTCCACCCAGTGCTGCCCCCGCCGGAGGCAACCGTCCCTCCCCCGACAGGCCCCAAACCACCGGCAGCGGCACGAGGTCTGGGCTAATGTCCTTGGTGCCTCCTGGCCACCGAGGGAGGCTGAGCAATTTCCCAAGCCTCCAGCTGGGAAGAGACCCAGAGCAGAGACAGGTGTGGTCAGAGATGCCAGGGCCTGGAGGCTGCGCCTCCGCAGAAGAGGAAGAGGAAGGACCCCGGAAAAAGCCCCATTCAGGACGGCTCCTCCGGGCAGTTCTCATGGTGCTGGGGCGGAGTGGGCTGTCGGCAGAGGGCCCGCCTACGTGGGCCCCCAGGAGCAGTCGCCCCCAGATGTGAGTGTAGGGGATCTTTCAAGAGTCTCACACCCAAGGGCGGTTGCCAGTGGTGGCACGGCAGGCGCAAAGGGACATCTCGGGGTCTCCCGGGGTTCCCAGGGCCTCTGAGACGCCACAGCCTCTGTGTAGACACGCACCTGCCAGCTGGAGGTCCCCTCCACCCCTGCTCACGGCCCCTCAGCACCCACACCTTAAAGCTGAGTGTCCTGTGTCCTGGCCACGTCCACAGCGTGACACCTTTTACGTGCCGTGTGGCGACAGGGCCGTATGCAGGCGGGATCAGGGGAGGGGCCCTCGAGGGCCAGAGCTGGGATACCGTGGACACCGGCGCCTGCTCCTTTCCCGCCCTGGTACCATCCACCTCGGACCTGGCACCGTCTAGGCACCGCCCTGCCCTTTTGTGCTTCGTTAGCTTTAAAGCACGAAGGCGGTTTGCAGCGGAACAGCTCGTCGGTTGTGGCGGGGCGGGCCGGGCCCCTGTCCCCCACCCCCACATCCTGCAGCCGGCGCCCACCTCTCCATGGACTCCAGCGTGCCGTCCAGGCTGCCCAGGTGCTCGGGGATGGGCAGCAGGGTTTTCCCCTTGATCTTGCCGCCCGTCACAAACATCTCGTTCTTCAGCCTGTGGACTTGCTTCACGATGTCTTCTGACACCACCCGGGGCCATCCCTCCAGGTTCTCGCTCTGGTTTAGCAGAGAGTAGAGGACCTAGAAGGAGACACGCCTGTAGCTCTGCCCGGGCCTCACCTGCTCGGCGGCCCGAGGACCCAAGTCCCCGGGGAAATTTGGAAGACCCTGGTGTCTGGAATCCTGGGAAAACCAGTCCTTCTACTCAGTCAAAGTGTTTAGAGCAACAATGACAGCCCAGCTCCCAGGTCTTTGTAGTGGCAGAGCCACCTCCAAGAAGGGGGACCCCGACACTTGCAACCACAGCACCCACGCCCTGCTGCCGTGACGGGTTAGACCGTGTTCTCGCAGACCCCGTGCTCGGTCCTAAGCCCCAGCAGCTGAGAATGCGACTGCATTTGAAAACAGGGTCTTCAAAGAGGTGATTAAGTTAAAACGAGGTCACTGTGCTGGGCCCTAATCCAACATGACTGTGTCTTTGCAAGGAGAGGAGATCAGGACACAGACACACACAGAAGGATAACCACGTGAGGTCACAGGGAAGAGACAGCCATCTACGAGCCAAGGAGAAAACCAACCAAATCACCCCAGCCGACACCTCCACCGTGGACTCCGGCCTCCAGAACTGCGAGGACATAAACATCTGTCGCACGGTGGGGACCAGGGTGCTACTCCGCCGACGAGGAGAGTAGTGGCTGGGAAGGCTGAGGACCTCTGACTTGAGAACTCTGACTCCCCAAAATGTGACACCCCCTCCCCATCGCACCCACTGAGAGTGACACTGGGGAGGAGGCAGGAGAGCGGAGGGATGCAGAAAATGGCACCCGTTTTCCCCTTTTTTAAACTCAAAGTCCCCAAGTTGGGGAAACCCATCTGCTAGTGCTCAGATAGCCCACACCTTCCGAGGCCGTGGGCGGCAACCGTAGGGCAGTTCTGAGGACGGGGCTTCTCAGACCTCAGCAGCACAGGCATCGCCTGGGGCCTTGTTAGAACGCAGGTCTGTCTCGGCAGGCCAGGGCGGGCGCGGCCTGAGCACCGGCATTGCCAACAGCTCCCAGGCGGTGCTGCCACTGCGGGCCCGCGGACCTCACTCCGAGCCGTAGGGCTCCAGGCCACTCACTGAGAGTCTGAGAAACGACGACGACTTCCCCTGGGCTCTAGACCCCCACTCCGGCCCCGGCCGGCCCGGACGCACCTCCTCCACCACCACGATCAGCTGGTCCACGGGCGCGGGGCTTATGTCCCCGTAGAGGAGACACGCCTTGTAGTTGGTCTTGCTCACGGCCTCGGGCTCTGTCTTGAGGAAGTAAACCCCTTTGGACTTGAGGGACTCCGGGAAGCCCAGGCAGGGCACGATCACGCCAGCGGGGCTAAGCGTCAGCACCAGCACCGAGACGTCCGGCTTCTCGAAGAATTCCGTGAGCAAGGCCATGTTCTCTTCCGCTCCAATCAGTTTGCTCCACTTGTCCGGCTTGAACTTGAGGATGAGGGAAGCAACTGCCTCCAGGTATTCTAGTCTGGCGTCCATGATCCTCGCCCTGGCTCTTTTCACGCCGCGGCCGTCTGTCGGTGAACAGAGACACAGATGCGAAACCTGGGCTTCTCTGTGTCCCGCCCGTCCCGGGAACCGTGTGAAATCTCTGCCACCGACGCCAGGAGAAAGGGCTCATTGTGACCATAAAGCTCTTAGCTGTGGACGGGTTGCGGGCGGGGAGGAGAAAGACGGTGTCCCTGCCCACTGTGGGGAGTCACACCAGTTGTGACCGCAAAGTTCATGGATGGGAAACACAGACATGGACGCGAGAGAGAAGAGAGAAAAGGAAGTGACTGTCGCTAGGTGGGGGAAGGGGGCGCAGGGGAAGAGACACGGCCCCCCTAGAACACATCAAAACACAGGGAAGGAAGCAGCCCAAAGCGCGGGGTGTGAGGTTCAACACGCTCTCCCTGTCTTCACCCCAGCTGGAGTGTACCCCAACTTTTGCCCTGCTCTGCCACGAGGCCCCCACCTAGGGCTCAAGCTGCAGACCCCCCGGTCATGAACCTCTCACGGCCCGCTAGGAGAACCCCAGCCCTGACCGCAAGAGCACAACGTGGCCTCGAGGTCTTCCTGAGAAGCTGGGATGGACAGCAGGGGACCAACTCCAGGCCTCAGTTGCCTGCCCAAAACCACGTCTCAGGGGCAGAATCACATCCCTACATGAGCCTGACTATGGCTCAGCAATAACAAAGTCTCCAGGACAGAGAAACAAGGACAACCTGACTTCTCGTGACTGCCTGCTAATTACTAATCACCCCGCAGCTGCTGCTGACAACAATCACTTTTTCTTCGTCCCCATAAAATCAGCGAGCCATGTGGCCTCGCTGCTGGCCACCCGGCCCCCCCACCGCCTCTTTCTTTGGACTGCCACCCATCTCCCTGCCCTCTTTCTTCCTCTTCTCTTTCCCCCTCTTCTCGTTCTCTCTCCTCTAAGAAGGATAAAATGAACTTTTTTACTTTGATATTTCTTTTTTCTTTTTTTTTTTTTTGAGACAGAGTCTGGCTCTGTTGCCCTGGCTAGAGTGAGTGCCGTGGCGTCAGCCTAGCTCACAGCAACCTCAAACTCCTGGGCTCAAGCCATCCTCCTGCCTCAGCCTCCCAAGTAGCTGGGACTACAGGCATGCGCCACCATGCCCAGCTAATTTTTTCTACATATATTTTTAGTTGTCCAGATAATTTCTTTCTATTTTTAGTAGAGACGGGGTCTCTTGTTCAGGCTGGTCCCAAACTCCTGACCTTGAGCGATCCCCCCGCCTCGGCCTCCCAGAGTGCTAGGATTACAGGCGTGAGCCACCGGGCCCGGCCTACTCTGATATTTCTTAATCTCCGTGTGAGAAATCTTCCTCCACCCTCGCCGTGGGCACCACTAGGCTTCCCACGCCGACACCGACCGGCTCCTAGTGAGGCGCAGAGCCACTTTGGCGGTGATGGGGGGAGCTGCTGTCGGCCAGGCCTGGGTCCCCACCTCTGTCTTCTGGAGGCCCCCCAACTTGTCCTCTGGCCCCCTAAATGGTTAAAGGCTGCTCACAGCTTACGGCGACTGGCTACTCCAGTCGAAAACACAGAACCGACGGGCAGCCCTCTCCCAAGCCAGGAAAGGAAATGGCTCCCTTCCCTTGAGGGGCTCCAACTGCCACAGAACTTCTGGAGGTCTCCTCAGGGCACCTGGGGCTTCCAGAACTTTCTCCTTGGGACCCCACTAACCAGTGTGCAAGTGAGTAGCCAACCCATGGTCCCCCACAGTGAAAGGCTCTTAGTGTAACAGGGAAGGGTCTGAAAAGAAAAAAAAAAAAAAAAGGCAAGAATGTTTTCTTTTTGAAGCTTCCCCCACTTTTTTTTTCTTTTTTTTTTTTGAGACAGAGTCTCACTCTGTCGCCCGGCTAGCTCACAGCAACCTCAAACTCCTGGGCTCAAGCGATCCTCCTCCCTCAGCCTCCCAAGTAGCTGGGACTACAGGCATGCGCCACTATGCCCGGCTAATTTTTTCTATATATTTTTAGTTGTCCAATTAATTTCTTTCCATTTTTTTTTTAGTAGAGACGGGGTCTCGCTCTTCCTCAGGCTGGTCCCGAACTCCTGAGCTCAAGCGATCCGCCCGCCTCGGCCTCCCAGAATGCTGGGATTACAGGTGTGAGCCACCGCGCCCGGCTGGACTCTTTTTTTTGAGGACTGAAGCCCACACCCCTGCCTCAGGCCCTGGTGAGGAGGAGCAGGGACAGGGCATCTTGTTCTCTTCCAGGTGGAGGCACTAGCCCCCAGGTGGGTGGCTGGCGGAGTCCACAGGCTTGGCTTTGACAGAGATGGGACGGTTAGAATAGTTAACTCAGTAATTGCCTGAAGCTGAGAACCCTTCCTTTAAAAGCTCTGTCTCTGCTTATGCTCAGGAAATTAGGATTTTAAGAGGAGAGGTCTACCATTCTTCCTCCTTTGCCAGCAAAGTAAACTCTCCTTCCTCATCCCCCAAACACTCGTCCTCATTCTTCTGATTTGGCCTCGTGGACAAGCACCGAATTTTCGGTAACATCAGTTTAAGATAATTTAATCTCAGTTGAACACTCTTTGCCTTTTAATCGGAACATGTAGTCCACTTCCGTTTCTGTAATTCCTGATATGTTGAATTTAAATCTATTGTCTTATTTTTCCCTATTTGTCTTGCCCGCTCAATCTTTCCTTTCCTTTCCTGCTGTCTTCTGGATTAAGTAATTTTTACGAATTCATACCCCCGTGCTGTGATTAGCTTGGCTATTACACTGAAGCAGCTCAGGAACTTTTACCCCAAAATATGACTCCTTGGAATAAAGTGTGTTTTGAATTAAAGGCCCCAGAGATCAACAGGCCTTGGCAGGGCCTCTCCCTCTGCACAAACCAGACGGACCCATCGAAACAGCAATCCCTCCCCCTCCCTGTTGTCTCACCATATTGCAGGAAAGAAGATGGAAAACACACAACCACACCTGGCCCAAATCATTTTAAATATAACACCTGTCTCAGGTTAGTTAATTTGCAAAGAATCATTTACAAGTCAGTCTTCCCCCCATCCCTTCATCCTCCCCAGCAGCCATTTACTGCCCCTAAACAGAGTTACCTGTACTCCTCGTCCCCACCCCCAAAAGGAGGAGATAAAAATTTCTGGACCTCATGGGGATATTGGGTAACGACTCCATGATTGTCCCCTGCACACGGAAAATAAAACCTCTTCCCCTGACTAATCTGCCGTAATTGTGAGTTGATCTTTCGGCAAACTTTCAGGGGAAAGGAAAAGCGTCCCCTCACCCCTAGACACATTCTCTGTGTCTCTCTCTGAGGTGCGTGGAGATTACGACACACCCGCTTGCTGCAGTGACGTGTTGCTTCTCTTCTTCCCGGGCACTGTGACCTATTTACTTCTTTTCCAAGTCACATGCCACTGCTGCCATGAATTTGAGTCCTAAAACCTTATCATGATTAGTAAGTTATTGTCACGGTTAAGCAGTTGGTAGGTGAGTGAATATTCATTAGATTCCCCCCATATTCACCATATTCATTTTCTTCCTGTATCTCTGAGCTTCCCCCTGGGATCACCTGCTTTCTGCCTCTCTCAGGATTTCCCCTCTGTCTTCTGGAACCCGGGATGCAGCGATGCGGAGGAAGGGGGAATTCTCCGTTCCCGAGGCACTCTCCCAGTACTCGGCCCTCCCCCAGGTCAGAGCAAGACAGCAAGTCCACTCACACTGCTTCTACTCTTCGTTGCCCTGCTGGAGTTTTTAGCCTCCAAAATGAGGCAAGAAAAAGAAAAGAAGAGGCATTGAAATTGGAAAGGAAGAGGTAAAACTACCTCTATTCACAATGATGTGATCTCGTATGTAGAAAAGCCTAAAAAAGTCCATAAAATAACTGGTAGGGCTAATAAAAGAGGTCAGCAAGTTTGCAGTATACAAGATTGACATGCGAAAATTAATTCTATTTCTATACACTAGCGATGAACCTGATGATGAAATTTAGAAAACAATTCCCATTACAATATCAAAATAACTTCATTTATAACATCAAAAAGAATAAAATACTTAGGAATAAATTTTTATAAAAGTGCAAAAAAAAGTACAAGACTTGTACACTGAAAGTTTCAAAACATCATTGAAAGAAATTAAAGATGACCTAAATTAATGGGTAGTCCTCTGTGCTCATGGGTTAGAAGACCTAACATTGTTAAGATGACAATCCTCCTCAAATTTATCTATGGATTCCACACAATCCCTATCAAAATCTCAGCTGGCTTTTTTGCAAATGGAAAAGCCCATCCTCAAATTCACATGGAAATGCCAGGGACCAAGAGTCACCAAAACAGTCTTGGAAAAGAGCGAAGCTGGAGGACTCGCACTGCCTGATTTCAAATTTGCTGTAAAGTTAGTCGTCAAGATCAAGTGCCGCTAGCACGAGGGCGGACACACAGATCAATAGAACAGACCTGCATTTATGGGCAATTGATTTTAGACGAGGGTGCCAAGACACTTCAGTGGAGGAAAGAACAGACTTTTCAACAAACAGTATTGGGACAATTGAATACCCACATGCAACAGAGTGAAGTTGGGCCCTCACCTCATACCGTCTACAAAAACAAACTCAAAACAGATTAACAAAACGTAACAGCTAAAACTATACAACTCTTAGGAGAAAACACAGGAGATCTTCGTGACCTCAGGCGAGGCAATGGTTTCTTACATATGATACCAAAAGCATAAGTGACCAAAGAAAAAATACCTAAATTTAATTTCATCAGAATTAAAAACTTTTGGCTGAGCATGGCAGCTCACCGTAATCCCAGCACTTTGGGAGGCTGAGACAGGAGGATTGTTTGAGGCCAGGAGTTCAAGACCAGCCTGGGCAACATACGGAAACCCTGTCTCTACAAAAAATTT